TCGCGCCTTCCTGCGCGAGCCGACGCTGGACAACCAGCCGCAGATGGACATGACGGCCATCGTGCTCGTGGCCTTGCATGCGGGGCTGTTCGCCTATGTGCTGGCCAGCCTGATCGAGTTCCTGTTCCCGAGCCAGCTCGGCTTCGTGCACGCCTTGCTGCTGGCCAGCCTCGCGGCCTTCGGCGCGCTGCTGGCGGTGCTGCCGTCACTGCTGATGGCCCGGCGCGAGCAGCCGCTGCCGCCCGACCAGCCGGCCGGTGTGGACCGCCTGCATCTCGTCATCGTGCTGATGGTGGTGGCGGTGTGGGTGTGGCTGGCTTGGCCGTCAGGGGGCTGGGGGCGGGATGTGGTGTGCGACAGCTGCGAGCCGGTGGCATGGCTGGAAGGCGTCAGTGCCTGGCCCTCGCACCTCATTCACCTGCTGGCGCTGTTCGCCATCCTGTGGACCTTGGACTGGGCCTGGGCCGACTCGCTCAGCCAGTTGCGTCGCGACTCCGATTGGCTGCGCCTGCCTCGGCCGGTCTCGCGGCCGGTGGTGCGCAGCGACCTGCGCCAGCTCGCCAGCGGCTGGTTCGAGCAGGTCAGCGTGCTGTTCTGGAAGCCCGGCGTGGGCTACAGCTGCGACTTCGACAAGCTCTGGAAGGAGTACGGCGAACGCGGCGAGGCGCGGCCCCGGGCGGCCCGGACGCTGGTGCTTTTCGCGGTGACGATCTGCTGCGTGGGGCTGCTCTTTCTGTGCCTGTCCGAAGGGCAGATCCCGGAGGTGCCGGTGCGCGGCGACGAGCACCGCCAGATGGTGACGGCCACGCTCTACGCCATCCTGCTGCTGCTGCCGCTGCTCGTCGTGGCCGTGGCCGACGCGACGATGCTGCTGATGCGTTTCGTGCGCCACTTGAACGCCGGGCGCAGCTTCTACCCGGACAGCACCATCGAGATGTTCGCCAAGGCGTTGGGTGAGGAGCACAAGGCGCTGTGGGCCCAGCGCTTCTGCGCGAGACCGGAGGACCGCAGCAAGGATGGCGGTGGCTTCACGATGCACACGCTGCTGGACGACTGGATCGACGTGCAGGTGGTGGCCCGCCGCAGCGCGCCGGTCGCGCGGCTGGTCATCGGCCCCGTTCGTCGTGCTGGCGCTGCTGGTGGTGGCGCGAAGCCGGCTGTTCGACAACTGGTCGCTGACGCCGGCCATCGCGATCAGCGTGAGCTTCTACGTGGCCGTGCTCGTCGGTCTGACCATCCTCCTCAAGCGCGCTGCCGAAACCACGCGCCGCCATGCATTGCAGTCGATGCAGGCCGATCTGCGCTGGCTGGCGGGCAGTGGCAAGCCGTTGTCGGACTTGGTCGAGCCCTACAAGCGGCTCATCGTGTCGGTGGAGAACGAGCAGTGCGGTGCGTTCGCGTCGTTCTTCGACCAGCCGCTGCTCAAGGCCCTGCTCGTGCCGCTGGGCGGCGCGGGCGGCACGCAGCTGTTCGACTACCTGCTGCTCGGGCGCTGAAGGGCGGCCAGCGCGGTGGCAAAGCGGGTGGCCTCGTCGCCGGCGACGTCCACCCACGGCAGGCCGTGCTCGCGCAGCGCCATCCGCAGCCGGGCGTCCACGCGCGCGCGGACTTCGG